TAAATGTCCATGGACAGATGACGGGATAAAGAATTGGTGTATACACAATGGAATATTATTCAGCCATTAAAAAGAGTGAAATAATGCCTTTTGCAGCAACATGGATGGGCTTAGAGATTATTAAGTGAAGTAAGTCAGACAGAAAAAGATAAATATCACATGATATCAATTATATGTGGAATCTTAAAAAAGATACAAACTTCATTGACAAACCAGTATAGACTCCTGGACACAGAAAACTGGTTGCCAAAGGGAAAGGGGGAGGGATAAATTAGAGGTTTGGGATTAACAGATACACACTACTATGTACAAAATTGATAAACAACTAGGACCTGCTGTACAGCACAGGGAAGTAGATTCAATTTCTTGTAATAAGCTATAGTGGAAAAGAATCTGAAAAATAAATAAATGTATGCACACATATATAACTGAATTGGTTTGTTGTACACCTGAAAGTAACACTGTAAATCAATTACACCTCAATTAAAATCTTTTTAAAAAAAGAAATGCAGGGTCCTAGGCCCACCCCAGACCTACAGAGTAAGAATGTTTGGGGCTGAAACCTGGAACTGCGGCTTCACTGACCCCAGAAGATGCCTCACACAAGCTCATGTGCTGATTCAGAGCGATGGTTGTAAACTTCGCTGCCCACTGGAGTCGCCCTGGAAACTCTAAAACATTCTGATTTCCGCATTCTACCCCAGAGTGTCTTATTTATTTAATCTGGGGTGCAGTCTAGCCATGCAAAAAATTCTAAGCTTCCCCCAGGCGATTTTCACAGGCAGCCAGGGTTGAGAGGCACTGCTCTAAACTTGCCCGGTTTACCTTATGGGAAAGGAATTTTAACACCGGCTTCGTTTTGAAGAGTTTGTTCTTAGAGCTGCAGAGATTCACTTCAGCACCCCTGGAGGCCCTGGAATGGCGTTACAGAATGAGGAGCTGCCCTTTCTTGGCTCAGATTGTCCCATCTGGAAACTTGTAGCAGAGGTCATGAAGAACACTCACGTCTTTGAGAGCAGACAATGTACGTTTGGGATGGGAGCAGCAGATTCTTTAGATCCGTAGAAAGCCGGGAGGGCGTGGGGAGACGGCAGGAAGGGGTCTCCGGCCGGCCGCGTGCTATTGTCGCGGGTGTCACTGCTGAGTCTGCACCCCACAAGGTGCCGTCTTCGATGGGCTTCCTCTTAGCATGGAGTGGTCCACGTGGGGCGGCACACCTCCCTTCCCCTCTGCCTTACGTTCCGGTCCATCCGTTGTCTCCCTCCATGTTGAAGGCTTCATCCAGGCCACCCGCTTGGGTCTCTTTGGGTTTAGATGCTGGAAGATGGTGGGAACCCCAGCCTGAACTCGACCCTTTGGATGTGAATGGTCAGGCCTGCTGGTCCCACTGGCTGTTCCAGGACCATGTTGATGGCCAGCCCACTGAGAGCCAGGGACAGTGGGAGCTCGGAGCGTGGCTGAGGGAAGGACGCCCCAGAGCTTAAGCACCCTTGGCTGGGGGTAACACCGTCTTTCGACAAAGGCATGTCCTTGGGCAGATTATTCAAGCAGCCTGAGCTCCCCGGTGCCTTTTTTTTTTTAAAAACTTAGGATCCTGGCACCTCCCCCCCTTCCAGGGCCAGAGTGAGGGAAAGATGAGAGAATATTCATTCACAAAAGTCTGGCCAACGGCAGATGCCACATAGATACAAGCCGTCCTGCGTTCATGCTCTGACCTGTTGCCTGCAAAGCTGGATGAACACCAGACCTCTTGAATTTCCAGCTCTGCCATTTCGTGACTGTTTGTCTGGACAGCTCAGTAGCTTCTTGGGCCTCAGTTTCCTCGTTCATAAAATGGGGATTAAATACTTAAAGACAAGGTTATTGTTGGGCACCAAAGGAGATGACAGAAGTCTTGAGATTTCATTCACGTGTTCTACAGTTCAGTGGTTTTCAGGATTTCACAAAGCTGTACCGCCGTCAGCTCACCGCGTTCCAGAACATTTTTGTTACCTTGAAGAAAACTCCACACCCTCAGCATTCGCTGCGTATCTCACCCCCTCCCAGTCCCAGCCCCAGGCAACCTGATCTTCCCCGCTCTGTGTTTCTGTCTAACCTGGATGTTTCATGTACGTGGAATCATACAGCATCGTGTCCGGCTGCTCTCACTTCGCGTGAGGTCTTCAGGGCTCACCTGTTTCGAAGCACGGGGCAGTGCCTCATTCATCACAAGAACGAGTGACTATTATGGCTGAATACAATTCCGTTGTGCGGATAGACCACATTTTATTTATCCGTTCGTTGTTGGCGATCTGGGCTGCTTCACTTTACAGCAATTATGAATAATGTTACTATGATTTTATGAACAGTGCACCGCCATTCAGCTGTGGGGTTTATTATTAAATAATATTAGTGATGAAAATGAAAGTGGTGAGATGTGTGGAAAGAAATGAAATCCAGTTCATTTGGGGACAAGTTTGTGTGCCTAAGTGTGAGTGTGAATGCTTGTCTTTTGATTTTTTGTTTGTTTCTGCAAAAATGAGAATATTTATTTTCTCCAGGCAATAGAAATAACATTTTTCTCTCTTTGGTAAGAGTTAAGTACTGTTGCATTCCATTTTTTAAAATAATAAAGTCCTAAAAATATATATTAAATTATGTACAGTGTATCACACTTCATTTCATATTTTTTTCATTCAAAATTATTTAATTACAAGGCTGGATAATCGAAAAACAAGCTTCAGAACTAGGAAGTAATATACTGGTTAACCAGTGATGACGCTAGGGCAGTGAAATGATTAAACAGAAGTGGCTTGAATCATACGGATGCATTAATCTGGATTTGATGTTGGTCCAGAAATCTATTTACAAAATTAAAAACTACCGTCCATCTTGATATTTGTTTTCTTCCCACGTCCATAAAATGAATCTTATGTTTTAAAATACATGACATTTCTATTTATTCTCAAAGTCGAGCTCACCGAGTTCATGTTCCTGAGCTTCGGGACCTCGTGGTTACTGTGTAGAATTGAGCATTTACGCCTCAGAGTAAGGAATGTTAGATGGCAGGTGAGAGACTACACAGCACGGAGGGTGTTTAAAACCTTCTGACAGCTCGGGCAGAAGTGGAAGGTTGGCTGCGTCGATGGTGGCTGAGCCCTGCAGGGTAACGTGGTGCCTGCCCTCAGGAAGCTTTCCATCGGGCAGGGAGGACGGAGAAGGTGGTGGTGACAGGATGGGGCCTGTGCTGGGACGGGCCCGGCCTGTGAGACTGCGGGATGCTGTCCTCGTTCGGGAGGTTGTGCGGCATCCAGCTGACCCTGCGCATCCTTTCTCCTAGCATGGTAAGACACCAGGACAGTGGCCGCTCCGAGGAGAAGGATGTGAAGCCCTGTCCCCGCGACTCCGGCTACGACAGCCTCTCCAACAGGCTCAGCGTCCTGGACCGGCTCCTGCACACCCACCCCATCTGGCTGCAGCTGAGTCTCAGCGAGGAGGAGGCCGCGCAAGTCCTACGGCCGCAGCCTCCGGGGGTAAGACGCAGAAGGCGAGAACAGCTCGAGGCGGGCAGGGCCGCCGCTTCCTTAAAGAGAAAGACTTGGCGTTCCAGAAAGTTCTTCCCGGCCTGTAGGAAGCCTGGTTCCTGGTGTGTATTGGGTACAATGTAGGGAAGTTCTGGAAACCATGGAGACGGGTCCCAGAAACAGAGTCCTCTGTGACTTGTCTTTCTGCCTTCATCAGTGGCAGCTGCGGGATGACAGGGCATCTGGGTGACCAGGCAGGTCTGCTGGCCAGAGGCCTCGGGCCTGACTTCTTGAGATCCGACGCTGGGGATGAGCCTGGCTGTAGGGTCTGCGTTGCCCCCAGCCGTCTTCCTTTCACGGTGAGCCTGGGAACCCTGCCAGCGCCCAGCCGTCCACCTGGGGACCCAGTCCATAGTGTTGTCTCTTCTGGCTGCCGTGTGACCCCCCGTCCTTGGGTTTTCTCAGTGGCTTTCCACACAGATCACAGTCCATTCTGGTCTCTTCAACTCCTGCGCACCCCCAGACCAGTCTCATCTCAATGAAGCCCACTCCATGACGCAATCGAAGTGTCTCAAAAATGTCATTCAGAGATTGGCAGGTATATCCTGTGCGATCCAGTGTGGTAGCCCCTTGCCTTCTGTGGCTATGTAAATTACATTCATGAAGTAAAACAATAAAAAATTTGGCTCCTCAGTTGCACCAGCCACATTTCGAGCGCTCACTAGCCACGGGGTGCTAGTGGCTACCATACTGGGTGGTGCAGGATACGGAGCATTTCCACCACATAAAGTTCTACTGGACAGTGCTTGTTCGTAATGTCTACTCCTAAAAAAGGGACGGATACAACAAATCACAGATAAAACAAGACTTGAAACAACCCATGAGGATGGAAACTAAGAAACAGGTGGAGAGGTGAGGAGAAAACTCCTTCAGTCACAACTGGGCACAAAGTAACCTTTGAGTTTCCCACCACCCAGAGCTTGCCAGCGATCACTTTTTGACTTCTGAGTGAGTCTTTGTTTCTCACCTGACAGAAACAGACAGGACTGAGACCTCTGTCGGAACACGCTCAGGGAGACAGGCACAGTGTTTGATCATCTTTGAGGAGAGATCCTTGGCCTGCACGCCAGGTTGTTGCCTCTGGTTTTGGTCTGTATGATCAGGACCCCCTTTTGGGAGGCCCCACCTTTTCCAGGGTGAGCTGTCTGCTCCTGTATTTCTGCAGAAAAGTCTGAGGGGAGGTTGCCGCGTTGCTAGGCAACACCCCCCTCCCCATCCCCCTCTGCCCCTGGAGTCGGGCACGTCCATTCCCGCCAAGAGCTGATGGGGAGCAAGTCAGGCAGGAGGTTCTCCACCTGCCTGATCCCTGGGCAGGACCGGCCTGACGAGCTGGGACAGGCTGAGGGTGGGGTGAGGGCAGGAGAGGCCCCGGTTCATCAGGAGAAGCCGGGACGCTGAGGAGGAGGCAGGGCAGCTGTGTGAAGGAGAGAGACTTGAAAGACCAGCCCTGGTGGCCTTGGTCCTTGGGGAGCCACCAACCCTGATTAATCCACAGCCCAAGACAGGGGTCAGCAAACTGTGTCTGTAAAGAGTCAGAGTGTCAGTTTTTTTGGCTTTGGGGCCCAGACCGTCTCTGTCATAACCACTCAACTCTGCTGTCGCAGGGCAGACGCAGCCAGGGACAACGTGTAAACGAGGAAGCAAAGCTGGGTGTCAGTGGAGCTTTGTTCGCGAAAGCAGACAGCAGGGTGGGTTTGGTCTGTAGGCCCTGCTCCGCGACTGCTGAGCTAAGGCTCCGACATTCAGGAGGGGAGGTCCTGAGGCTGGACTCTCCCTGGACTGAGACCCCCCAGGACTCAAGGAGATCCTGCTTGCATAAGGGGGCCATACTTCTTTCCACCAACTGACAGCTGCCTCCCAGCAGTGCCCTGGGGCTTTTACTCATCAGGACAGCATTGAGGAGACACCTGCTTCAGCCTTAGGGTGACCCAGAGCCACTGAGCTGGCAAATTCTATGGTTTCCTCCCCATGGATGCTGGGGGTGAAAAGAGAGCTTCCTGTCTCCCTACTGGACACCCAGTTTCTGTTACCCCTGGTCCCCAGGAAAGTATCTTAGGAGCTATGGACTGGACATACAGAAAGAAGTGAAGATGAGGTGCGAAAAAAACTAAAAGGCTATAGAAAAGTAGAAGAGTGGAGACAGGTGTCCAAATGCAGAGGCAAGAGAAGTAGTTAGAGAAACAGGACAGGATGGGATCCTTAGGGAAGGATCATGTACCACGAAAGGAACCCAGGACACAGCCAGGCTGCCACACTGCGAATGAACTCCAGGTAGTTCCATTCAATTTGTAGTCTAGGCAGATGTCACCCCCTGGAGTTGTGCAGTGTACAACCTGCACAGCAGTATGCAGCATGCTCACCTCTGCAGTGTCAGAGGCTAAGCTGGTCTCCTGAGATCAGCACCAGGAGTTGAGCTGCTTTAAACCTGCTTTTAAAGACATTATTTTGAACTAGAGGGAGTTGTCAGAAAGTGAGGCGAGTCAGGAGTGGTGGACCACCAGCCTCACTGTTGGCTGTGGTGAGCCCCAGAGCACAGCTCCCCACCACCCAGGTGAAGCTGCCACTTTCCAGCTCCGGTGGACTCTGCCATGCCTGGTCTTGCCTTATCATCTCGTTTTCTAGAAGCAGCTAGACCTTCAGATTTTAATGTATAACACAAAAGAACTGCTTTTTCACTGTTAGTAACAAATTCAGATGTCTGTCTTAAATACACTGTGAGCCAAATTAGCTAATACACTTCCAATTCACCGCCGATGGCTTAACCATGGTCCCTGGGTCTAGAATTCAGCTTCATCCACCAGGATGCCCATCAGACCCAGGCTAGCAAATACATGACATGAGCTGTAGAACCACCACCGAACTGCACATGCTCCTGCGGACTGAGGCGCTCCGTAGCGTTGTGGGAAGGTTCTGTCAAAAGGGCAGGTAGGGCTCTGCTGAGGTCGGTTATCAAAGAGACCATGGCCTGCTTGCCCATCGCCCGTCTCCATGCCCCTCATGGGCGCTGGGTGTGCAGGAAGTCAGATGCCCAGATCCCAGCCTTCTAGATCATTCCTCAGCTGGAATTTCGTTTTCTTCCACTAGATCTTCCTGGTTCGTAAATCCACGAAAATGCAGAAGAAAGTCCTCTCCCTTCGCCTGCCCTGTGAATTTGGAGCCCCGCTCAAGGAGTTCACCATAAGGGAAAGCACATACAGTAAGTGGTCATTAGGGGGTCAGATTCTGGCAACATGAAGGCCTTGGGGCTTCGAGCAAGTGGAAGGGGACCCGAGAGCCTATACTTTGAGGTGGACAGACATGGGTCTGAGTCCCAGCGGTGTTACTTGTTCACTGGACGACTGGGCAGGTAACCTACCCTAGGAGCCTCGGTTTTCTGATCTGTATGATGGGGTGATAGTGACCTCAGAGAGCTGTTAACAGTTCAGTTAAACAACCGTGTGCACAGTTTGCAGTCTACTGCCTGGCACGTGGCAGGGGCCTAAAAGAGGCTGGCTTCCTTGCCCCCTTCTCAGTTAGGCAGGGCATGGTCCCCAGGTTTGCTGGTGGCTCAGCTGCAGGGTAGACTACACAACTGAGCCTTTTGATGGGACCTCCCTCTAAAGCCGACATGTCCCCTCTAGGCCGTCCCTGTTCAGTGTCCTGCGAAAGGCAGCCAATCATAGGCAGAAGCTAGCCCATTGGAAAAACTGACTGGCTGAAGTTTGGGAGGGGAAGCTAGTGCTCAGGAGTGCTGGTTTTCTTTCTGCTGATCCATGGTCACTGGAAATGTGAAGTCTTCAGAGGCCAAGTTTTAAATGAAAAAGGGAACACACAGTCCTGATGTACTGCCAGCCTCCCGGCAACGATCAGAAGATGGATTTAGACTCCCAAGGGGAAGGTTTCATTGAAGCCACAGGCTAGCATGCTGAGGTGTGAAGGCGAGTTTGGATGCTGGTCGATTGTCTCCGTAGGACGGTGGACCCCAGATTCTCACTTGCTTCTTGGCTTCATCCTGAGCAGACTTGAGTCCTTGCCACTGAGGGAGCTGAAGGCACTGAGGTCAATCTCAGCGCAGGTATGGGCTTCTGCTCAGCCCGGAGTCTGTGGTCATGCCGAGCCAAGTGGCCCCTAATGGGGCCTGGAGGAGACATTCTGGCCGCTGTGACTAGCCTCAGGTCAGCTGCAGACCCAGGTCTCCTGATGTTTTTCCTCCAGGCTTCTCACAGGGTCACTGGCATCCGGGAAAAACTCCCTCAGGCAAAGACGTCTGCGCAGCCAGAGAGCCTGCTAATGGCTCGCCAGTTTGTTTACATTAGGAGGGAATCAGAAGGCAGATTTCAAACCCACCCTCTTTAAGACAGTGAATTAAATATTAAGTGGGAAAAGGCGATTCTGAGTTGGCCTTGGAAGTGTGCTAGCCAAGAAGTGTGATGTATCGAAGTGGTTTTTAAATCTTGTCTAACATCCGAAGTCAACTCAGCCTGGAAGCCCCTCCCCTCCCCTCCCGTAATAAGTACAGCTACTGTGTGTGCTTCACGTTTTCTCGGTGTTCACCTGAGGTCTCTCCTGGCTGAACATTTTTCCTCCCTATTTTGTCGAGACCTCTAATCACGTCCCAGGTCCTCTCCAGGTGACTTAAATTGGCTGAAAGAGCTCGTGTGAGCAAAGCATGAAGCTGGCTGTAACTAGCTACCTCAGGCCTCATGATGATCCCCTGCTGGCCAGGGTCTGCCTCCCCTGTGAATTGAAGTGGACTGAGACGAGGAAAACCTGGCTTTAAAAAAAATGGATATTTCATCATAACATCTGGACGATGTGTTTCATAATAAAAGCCACCTCCTATTTGTATAGACTGCTTTCACATAAGTTACTCCATCAAAAAAAAAAAATTTCAGTTCCCACTACTGCCGTTCTGGGAGACAAGGGAAGTACAGTTATTGTCCATTTTACGGATGAGAAAATCGAGGCTCAGAGAAGTTAACCTACCCCTACCTTTAACTCACTAAATTGTGGTGCGCATGACTATGTGTTTCTGCCTGTCGGTCATGTGTGTCATGTGTGTCCGGGGGTGCTCCAAAAATAGTAAGCAAAATAATACAACATGAGTGAAATAACTGAGGCTGCAGAAAGGAGAGAAAGTCATCTGATTGAGGGGACAAGGCAGTCTTCACACAGCTGGGGCTGCTTGGAATGGCTTTGGAAGAACAACCGCACGGATGGCATTTCAGCCAAGAAGGCGTGAGGAGTGGGTGACAAATACGTGGAGACTTGAAGTCGAGCCACTCACTGCTCCACCGTCTGGAAGATGCACCAACGGCACGCCTTCCTGCCGGAACATCTTTTCTTTGTTGGAAGGTTGCACACTTGGCGGGGAGGGGGGTCTAAGTAAGTGAAATGAATTTTTTTTTCACTTTTTTTTAACGGAGGAACTGGGTGTTGAGTCCAGGACCTCGTGCATGCTAAGTACTGAGCTGTTCTGGCAAACTAGCTCTACCACTGAGCTATTCCCCACCCTCACACGAAAATTCATGTAAATTCAATTTACATCTTTCAGACTGAGTTTAACCCAAAGCTGTCTTATGGGAACCTTGTGTTATCCTCTCAGCTTTGCGTTCCTTCTGCCTCTTGTCTTTACTGGAGGTGGCCTGCTTGGGCAGAGAGAACTGTGCCCCAGGAGGGTCGAGGGCCGCCGGGGACTCGGTGTCCCCCAAGCCCTGCCATGTGCTGATGGTCTCTCACTCCAGCCAGTCTGGCCCCTTCGCCCTGCCCATCTTTGCATCTTGAACTTTAAAAAGAGACCGTTGTGCAATGTGCGTCTGTGCTGGTCTATTTACCAAGCTCTGGTGCATGTGCTCCGATGAGTCAGGGACCCTTCGCCGGCCTGTCTCTGGCCAGCGTGCATCCTCTGCACAGCTGGTCCTGATCAGCTGCGGGCGCGGGTTGGAGGGCGCCGAGACAGCCCTGCAGCAGGCAGCGTCGCACGGTCTTTCCTTGCTCAGGGACACTCAGCTGGTTTCCGGCATCTCTCTTTTCCAGCCTTTTCCCTGGAAGGCTCGGGAATCAGTTTTGCAGATTTATTCCGGCTCATTGCTTTCTACTGCATCAGCAGGTAAGGCCGCTTCATCTCGTGACTGTAAGCACCTGTCTGGTGTGTGTGATATGAGGGGCCCTGAGTTTTCTTGATCTGAGCCAGGCAGAGGGCACCGGGAGGCTGGCCGCCTGTGGGATGTCCCTGGAAGGCTGTCCCTGGAAGGATTGGCCCCTGAAGTGAAAGGGTCACCAGGTCCCCTGCGCCAGGGTTAAGATCAAAATACCCACTCCCCGCCCCTCCAGATGTAAATCACACACACACGCGTACACGCAGAAAGGGGCCGACCATGCAGACCTGTAACGTTTAAAGGTCCCTGATCGTGTTTCTAAAAACTCCCCAGTGGGTGCAGTTCATTCTAGACAAGAGGGTTCCTTGAGCCAGCCCAGAAATCTCGCATCAGACTCCCTGAGGCCCGCGGGGTGCCCCCGTCCTTTCTGTAACTAAAGCACTGTTTCCGTCTATGGGAAATAAAGCCCCCAGCCCTCGAGTTAACTAGTGTCGGGAAGGTTAGCAAGTGAGGGCGGCTTTCTTCTTTCTTTCTTTCTTTCTTTTCTTGTTCACCATGACAGTTTTTGAAATCAGGGATTCTTTCCATGAATGAGGATTGAAACTCACGTCTGCAGAGTCCGACACGGCCTGTTCTTGGGTAGCCGGGCTCGGTGGGCCCCCTTTGCCTTTTGGCGTCGGTTGCAGCCGACAGAGCAGAGATGGGCGTGTGCTGCTCGGGCTGTTTGCAGAGACCCCTCTCACCCCCATGGCATGCTCAGGCTGAGGAGCTTATTTGGGATCAGTGTGTTTCCTTTTAATTTAAGGGTTGGGTTCTTTCTCAGACTGAGTTGGGTGTTGGTTGCACCCTTGAGGGAGGGGGTGCTGAGCTGTTCACTCCTGGAGGTTACCAGGCTAGGCCAGCTGAAGCCACACGGTCAGTGGCCTGAGCGGGGGAGGCACTTCAGAGGGGGCACCCCCCAGGAAGAAAGGGGCTGCACCTCAAATGGACCAGGAGACACACGTGGCTGCCAGGGTGTGGGTGGAAGCCTGTGTGAGGAAATCTGTCCAAAGAGGGGAGGCCAGTGCAGAAGTCCCCGGCCATCCCCAGGGATGGACACCTGGTCTGGCGTGAGCGACTTTCAACACTAGCATGCCAACTGAAGGTGAGTTGGCCAAGGTTCACACTTCACAGTTTGCTTCTCGGTGGGTGTGCCGTGGTGAAAGCTCGTCACACCCGTAGAGTAGGATTTGACAGCAGCGCATGAAGGGCACCATCTCCATTTCTCCCCGCCGTCCGTGGTGACCATAACCTGGGAGACGGCTGCCCAGGGCTGCCTGATGACAGGGGAAGCCTGGGTAACTGACAGAGCATGAAGCAGGTGCTTACAGGAGCATCTCAATGCTTTTCCTTTTTTTTTCCCCAGCTGCAAAAGTTCTTGATGTTTTTGTTTCCCCTTTCACATAGTGTTCCTCATTTATCTGACCAGTCACTGATTTGACCTAGTCTCACCAATGTATGTTTGAAATGTTCTAGTTGGTCACTTATCTGTGAAGATACTCAAGCAGCAGAAGGGATCAGCTTGCAGCCCTGGCGCTCACACGGTGGGTGTGTGCGCACTGGCTCCAGACTAGAGAATTCGTGGGTTCATTAAGCATATGATCTGCCACGTTGAAAGTGTGACTGAGAAGGGAGACGCAGACCT